AGATTTTCTAACACGGAGCGACAGATAACTTGGACGACAGGCTGTGTGGTGCTAAACCTCAAAAATCGAAGATCGTGTTGATCCTGAAGAATACCTACATTGGGAATATCGGGTGAAAGCTTATATGAAACCTGTTAGTTGACTGCACTGGCATGTGAGCATCAAGAAACAATAACTCTGGGTGGCTAGAATACGCATTTGTAATGCGATCACGAACATCATTGCTGAAACTTCATCTCTAATTGCAACTAGTAGCCAACAGATAACACCTTGTCGTCGTGCGTCGATGTGCATCTCAGTGAGCCCAATCATTAATAAACTTACAAAGGATGGAATGAAAAACAACTCATTCTTTACTACACATAAAAATGTATTGAAATCTTTAGCGCACCTCTTGAACTTTTTTTTGAAGAATTCTGTTGTAATCAGGGGAAAACGGATCTTGGGCCCTTGAACTTAATAAATAAAACGGGCATTTACCATATATTTTATCGCTTCCAAAAGGTCCGTAAACGGAGCACAGATAGTCGAGTCATGCTAGTTGCTGATACTTTAATACCCGAGGATGAACTATTGTTGATTTTCTAAACAGAATGCTCTTTTTCCGTTCGGTCTGTCAAGGCAGACTCATACTATCATACATTTACTTAAAATGTGAACTGTGGTCTTTCAGTAAAAAAATTGCTTCAGATTTATTTGCAAACGTGACACACATTGGCTTCCTGTCGAGGATTTATTGCAAGTTTCCGTTTATATTAGTTGCGAATTTTGTTTTCCGACAGATTCACTCTTGATACTTTGCCGGTCGTAGTCGGTTTTCTTATAAAAATCGGGAAAAGTTTGGACGGGGCCACAGTGCAGTAAGATTCGTCCGTTCAAAGTAGAGTATTTTAACGCAGCCATCTACTGTGAGTTGTATAATACTCTATGGTCTTTCTCAGAGAGGATTTACTAACTTTTAAGTTGCGATTGCAGATTACATGGTTAGTCTCAAAGTGAATAGTGCCAGAATCGAGAATAATGCGTCCCTATTGATAGAGAAGCTTCCGTCTGCCCTGAAATAAACACTCAGGACCAACTACATCTATCCAGACCGCAGAATATCACGTAACCCTAGGGAAAAAGACTCCATGTTCGGGATATGGATCTCATTTGCATCATGATGAACGCAAGAAGCAAACGAATACAATGGACTAGTTACTATGAATGGCGTCTGTGTCTAGGCGAGGAGTCCCGCCTAGAACAGATAAGCTGAGATTGGGGTCCAACACACGACTGAACGAAGAAGCTATGCCTACTGGTCCTAATTATTGCTGATTTGTAGTTGTAGGATTTCTTCAAATGCTGACTTAATCAAATACAACGACCTGGAAGGTTTCAGGTGTCCATGACGCTGGTTTTTACTGAACAGTTTCGGTTCATACGAGATATTCCAGATTCGACCAATATTTTTTGGTTTAGGTCACATCATAATGCGGCATAAAATACCCATCGCCAATTAGCTAGCCTGATTCTATGAAACCATAATCCAGCGTCAAATTTAGAGCTCCGGTTGGCGATAAATGTTTAGTTAATCTCTCCATTGGAGTCTGGTTTCAGCGCATTTATGGATATAAAGAAAGGCCAGAGTAATCAATAAAACATGGCGTTCGGAGAAAATCTTCTTTCCCCGGTAAAAATCACTTGGATTGCAACGTTTAAAATAATTTAGCTGGGACGCACACACAACATTCGTATTGAAAATTGTGCACTGTGTAACCGGCATCACAAATGTTGTTCGGATGCCGCTTTTTGATTGCCTTATCGAATGCCGGTATATCAATCACGGCCCTTAAAGGGAACAACCTGTCTTTACTGCACGGTCTTGGAGTTGACAGCTAGCGGTTCAACTAAATTTTGACAAACATGAAATGAAAGGAGGGGTAATAGGTAGATCAAGAATGACAAAGTTTGAGGAACTAGTGCACTGAAAGTAGAAATAAAGAAAGATCCCTTGTGTAAAAAATGAGGAAACTTTCGCAGTCCTAAAAATCGGGAAAAAATTTCTTCGTGCCACAGCGATATTTCTATTTATTGTGAATGGATAGCGTACTATCCGTAGTGTACCACTGAATAATTACGTATCGGAATTGGTTCCAGTTAGCCCAGTATTAAGCTGCGTCAGTCCAAGCTACTAGTTAAAAGTCTCTGAAATGTTTTGGCCATATTTTTGAATACATCAAATGAACTTTCTGGACGAACGACTACGACCTGCATTTACACTAACTGTAGAGTGGAACACATTGAAGATTTGGTGGCAAACCATTATTTCAATTTGAACCGTTATTAACTTACCTTATTAGCGTTCCTGTAAGCGGTGCTGTTAACTCAGGTTCCAGGGTACTTTGCACTCTCAAAAACCCCTTTTTTTACAACAATGCACTCGCTTGACTTTTAAGTTGGCCGCAGTTTTCTACTTCCTGATATTCTTTCCTGTGGCAAACTTTATTTTCCATTTCATTGCACTATCAAATTTTATCAAACAAGTGAGAGCCAAGCGTCGTTTTCACGGATCCGAAAGAGTTGTTGTAATTTAGCTGCATCTCAGTTGCCATGTGCTGTCAGTACAACTCATAACGGCGTCTAACCAACAAACTACTTGGTAACATACTTGGGAAAATACTGTGACATCAAAAGCTACGCCTATAAACCACAGTCAACATTGACCCCCGAAGGGCAACCGACTGCATAAATAATTTAGGCAACAAAACAATGTTAGATAACCACTTTATTCTCCAGTCATATTTAAAACAACTTTAGCTAGAAGTTAATTCATTCAATGCATTTATACTTTACTAAATTTCCATGCTTGAGTACCCCTGGAAAGTTTTTTCTAGCAATGTACGAATCTCCAAAACAGCTGGTTTCATGAATAACTTGGACCTTATTGAGCTGGTGAAAAATGTGAAAAAATACGAGTAGAATCTATTCCTCTTACAATTGCACACATTAATTAGTGTCTAACCGTCGACGAAGTGAAGTTGGTAGTCCATTATTCAGATCAAATTAAATCGGTATGAATATTACAGAATGTACGGCTCTGCTGTACGCGGAGCTGTAAGTTCAGGTTTGATGTACAATTGTGCAATGTTGCTCGCTTATGTGTCCGCGTAAAGCCTTGAGTGTGATATAGCAGCAACTGAAATCGAAAACAGCTCCGTTTACTGCCGTTACTGGAATCGCCTCATTTGTGTTCCGCTACGAAGGGATCAGGACTGTGTGAAATGTAAGAACCTGACAGCACAGAATTTGTCAGATTCGGTCCTTACAGACATATCATGCAACTGTGCTTATCCAGACTAGCTTTTTTGGGGAGAACCTGCGCCTAACTAAATCAATTGCTACGCGTGGACAACAACTAAGAGAGGGCTATTCAACACTTCCCATTTATCACTGATGGTTCCCGTGATATTTCTACCCATTGTTAAACCACAGGCTTTTACAGTCGAAATTGGAGTTCTGTGGGCTGGTCATAATCCGCTGGGCTGTTTGACTTATTTTGGTGTAGACGCTAATGTACAGCCATCATTCTACCCTGAATAACACGAGTTAAAATTATTCCATCAGGAATTTTTTTAGCTTTCTCATTTTACCACCATGATCATTTAGCAACACATCCAGTTCGGTGAAAAAAATGCTGGTGGTCGCTACGGGATGCTTTCGAATGTTCTGGGACTTCAGCCTGGTTCTGCGTTCAGTCCTTGGTAATCAAAATGGCACTGTTCAGGACTTTGACAAGTCTGATTCGGTCATTGACGTAAATTTAACTGTGAACGAGTCCCACTCGTTTGATGATTGATTACCATTCGGAATTCATGTTGCCGACGGCGTCTTAGCAGTAAACACGTATGTGCAGTTGGTAGGATAACCCGTAAACGCACTCCAGGCTCCTGATAGAAGTTCGGAAGTGCTTAACAAAACTGGTGGTTTTACCGGTTTGACCGATGTCTTGCGGGCAACTGGCCTAATGGTACATTTGCAAAGCGTAGAGGGCTTCGGATACAAAAAACCCTTTGTTGAAATATACCTAGTTTCACTTCGACCGGTTAATTCAGAATGACCTAGATCAGCCAATTATTGCAGGGTCATTATCATCGTCATTGACATTTAGAACAGACAAGGGCAATAGTGATTCCTTGCCCTACAATCGTGTCAATCTACTTAAATAAAACATTATGGAAAAAAGGAAATGGGACAAGGAGGAGGATTCAGACCTAGTTCACCACAAACGTCCGAGGTACCTACACCTTCAACACTCAGTCAGACAATCTGGATAGAAATCTGATATCTGTTACCTACACCTTCAACACTCAGTCAGACAATCTGGATAGAAATCGTGATATCTGTTAGCCAGAGTATTGTCCACTGTCTTCAGTCAAGCTGGAAAAGGGCAAGTTAACCCATCTTGTAAGATGAACCACAGCAAGAGTATCCAAAATATTCGCAAAATCTTTAATTCGCCTTTGTCACGTCACATTCTGTCCACATCCATGCGTCCGTCACTCCGAATTAGGTACGGAAGTCAGCACACGTCTTGACAGGCAGTGACTCAGTCTACGTAGAGTTTGAACCGGCCAGCTTAGCTTGCAATTTTGGATGCATCTTCTGAGTGGAGTATCTCCCGTTTCACTCACAACCGTCTTCTGATCACTCCATTCCGAATTCGTTTATTTTTAGCCAAATCTGAGTCATCACTGGTCCAAGACCTGAATAGGCTCATATCCTTCATCAGAAGCGTTATAGTCTCACATCCGTACACGAATATAACTCGCACTATCGTCTGAAATACATGTCCTTTGGAACACGGCAATTTCCACTTGATGCTACAATGGCACTAACTGGCAAAAGTAATTCTGGCCTTTGAGATTCATGCACTGGCACCGTCTGTCGGACTTGCGTCTGAATTAATACAACTTCCGAGATATGTATAGTCTTTTACAAACATCAGTGTCACTCCTTACCTTTTTAGATATGTGTTTATAGACCGTATGTCCTGCATTATAACCCTGCTTTTTATGAATGTGAAGCACCTGCCGGAGGACTAGATGAGTCAGCTTCTTTTTTGTCTCCAAAATGAGAACAATGTCGTCTGCATATTCTATGTCGAGTTGGTTCTCGCTCAGAGGAATCTGAAGGCCGGGATTTTGGAGATCTTCCAGATCTTTCATTGATGACGAAGCTAAACAAAAATACAGTGGGCAGCGTTGTCGAAGATCATTCCTTGCAGGTAAACTCTTGGTGAGTTGGCCACGTATTATCAAAAGCTCACAAGTCTGTGAATCTAAACGCATGATATTCACAAACTTACGATGCACATGCTAGTGCACAAGCGTGTTGAGCATAATTAACCGTTCGACAGAATCGAGGACCACTTGAAACCAAGGAACACCAAGACTCTAGGATGCCCATCCGCATGCACGCCCATCCGTCCCTCTAGCATGTTGCAGAGTGTAAAGATTTGGTCTACACTGTTCCTTCTCGGCTGGAATCCCGCTTGCTTTTCTCGAGTCCAGACTTCAAGCAGCTTCGCAAGATGACGTATAACAAGATACGCGAAGAATCGGGTTGTAACACCGCTCAAAGTAAATCCTCTGTGAAAAACCCATTTTAGGGTTAGGTCGTGCCAGTATTTCAAATGCCTGTCCCATCAGCGACGAGCAAAAGCAGTTGAATCATACTAATGTATCTTACTAGAACATAATCAGAGAAAATTATTCAGGGTGGTTTTCACGGATCATTGTACCACGTTTGACAAATTTCCTTCTGGCTTTACACGTACCATCCGCATTCAACTCTCTCTTCGCAGGATTGTTGTCTTTCAAAGCGTTCACCATACCTTCGGATGCAGATTTTTGATTCAAAAAACATTTTTGATAGGAAACAGTTTTCCAAATCGTGATGGTTTTTCTACCTAAAATAAACTCCAACCTGTATCTATCGGCCTTAAATTACAGTGCCTTTTTGAGTTTCAGTGATGTTCAAATTAACCAACCATCTGTGCGTGAATAGCTTTGATGTTGGCATAAAATGTATACTCATTAAGTGTACTGCGGCACCCGCAGGAAGCGTAGAAATGATGAATAGTTTGTTATATGTTTGTTCAACGATTGGTATTTCAGGTGGCTAGTTGTTGCAAAACGGAATGGTTTAACAAACCGGCTAGAAATGATCATTTAGGCTGGTAGGCTTGTTCATAGAAAGCACACGATTTTGCCTCAGCTCATGTCAAATTACACATGATTTCTTACCATATGTAAATAGCACAATTTCGCCTCGGATCTTTATGTGTGTGCATTCATTCATGATTGGAATATATCAAGCAAGGCATGCAAATGGTAAACATGCCAACTGATCCGGCGCGTTTCCAAGACTTGTTCAGTTGCGCGATTCATTCACTCTGGAAGTACTTGTAATAGTAACATAAGGGGCGGGCTAAAATCATTCACACTAGTTTTCGAATAGTTTCGGGGAAGATCGGCGAACAGACGCTGTTCCTCCTTATAGTGGATCATCATTTGAGCTTCAGTTGGATGCACACCTGATGTTTGACCTGATTTTCACAAAACACGGTGAAAAACCATTTCCAAATTGAGAATCTCAATTCGTTCAAACCGTGTTGCTCACCAGCATCTAGAGGAATAATGGGCCGAAATTCCAACTTTATCACTTATACCGGGGTTCGAGTCATGGAAATGGAAACTATGGAATCATCTGTTCACCGCCCCATGCATGCAAGAACAAATGTGCACTTCCAGATGCAAGCCAACCAGAATTATTCGTTTGCATTTTTGATATCAGGCGAATAAAGAACATTTACGAGAGTGCAAGAAATTCGTATTCCTTAGACTGGAGTCCGGTTTTTCGTTGTACCAAGAAGGCAAGAATCAGTAGTTTTTGTTCTGTCGTTTGTGTATTTCTGATCGCTAACGTATCTTTGGGAAAGAGGTCCGATAGTCGCGGAAGAGCAACTTAGGAATTTAAACGCGATAGGCAATATGGAAAACCGTGGGTATAGTCAAATGGTATCAATCATATTATTTGTGACAGTGAAGAACTATTCCACAAACAGTAATTGTGAAGCGAATCAAGATGCCAGTCGGCAGGAAAATAAATCCATTATGAAAGTATGAACTCGGGAAATTCGTGAACAGTCTTAGGGTGTCCATTCAATCCTTCGTAAAGAGTGGGGAAAGCATACTGTGGTTTTACACCCGCGACAAACAAAAAAAGAATGCACAACGAATTTTGTGGGAAACTTACAGATCGGCCATACTGTTCTCTCTGATGCGCATGACGGTAAGTGGGCGAATATGGGATGCAGCTCGAGTCCACCCACCGCGTATAACTAAGCCAGCTCCTTCACCACGTGTATCCAGATCCACCAGCATATGTTTTACGGTGCATCCAACGGGTGCTATTGCAAGAAACAGCAAGAAATTTAGTGGTGTCTATTAATCCCTATGGATTATCTATGATGCACTCAACTTCAGTGTTTAAAGTCAGAAGATTTGTGTACCTGCGGCCGTCAGAAAATGGGCCAAATAAAAGGTGACTATTTTATTAAATTGCATCATCGTGACCAATGTTGTGGATCAACTTTAAAGACCTCTGGACTTAAACCCACAATGAGCAAGGGTGGGAAGAATGTCCCACACTAAACAAATCCCGGAGCCTGGCCCTACTGGTCAGTAACAACACACCATGACAGTGTACACAAAGGTCAAGCAGTCCTGAAAACTAGAACCAATTCCGCAGTAAAACGGATATGAAGTATTTAGAACACTGCATTCAACGAACTATAGTAAGGTGTTTACTTTCTGGTAGAGACTAACAAAAGAACCGGGGTCGACGCAAGCGTGTCAAGCATAAGTTTCTTTTCAGGTAATTCCGTACTACATTCAGAGTCCAGGACAGCTGAAGCGTGGCTCGCGGCTATTCGAATACATTCGATAATAAATCATTCTCGATATCCGGCTTGTTGAACGCATCATTTGAGAGTCGGATATTTTTAGAAACGTCTTCGCGACCATGGCCCGACCTCAAGCTATCCTCTCGCAGAGATGGTCGTGCTTCAGTGATGCCATAATTCTACGGCTATGCGAGCTGGATCTCAGTTCTCTCAGTTTCATTCATGCCAAGAAGGCCAACATGGAGATGTCCAAATAAGAACAGCGAGTCCTCGTACTGTGAGAGGTCATATTACGAGGCAGTTTTGGAGTAAAATTGCGCCGTCCTCAGTGATGAAAATGTGAAGGTAGTAACGCGTTTTCTCAAGCCGACCATATTGTCCATATTTACAGAAGCAGCGGTGCTGCTTTCCTTCGAAAAATGATTATTTAGAAAAGGTCGGCCCTAAAAATAGCAAGCTTCGGTTGACCGTGACCTTCTGCAAATTATTCAGAACGGTCAAAGTGGTTTTGAAACTGGTGTGGTAAACGCTTGTGATACAAAGTCGCCCGATGTGCGCAGCCGCATCAGGAGTGAGAGCGTTATGCATTATTCTTCGCGCCATCCGTCCGGTCGCTTCCTGAAATCAAGTGGATCTGACTGTTGAGTCATTGGCTCCGGAAGACGTCCTCAAAAATGTCCTAACACCGCCGCCTCGCGGTTCAGATTGTTGAGTCCAAGGCTGGAACACGGGCTCCTGAAAAAAATTACACTTCCTTGTCGGTTAGAATTCGGAGTAGGTGAGGTAGCTCAGTCAAACCCTATTCTTCAGCCTGTCATTTGTCCTTGAGGCTCTTCATTCACCGATCCCTCCCCGGGCTTCCCTGATACAAGCCATATTTCATTCAGCCGTCAATTGCCTAACTGTCCTTCGTTATTGAAGCTTCTTCGCTGCTAGAGTAATCCAAAAAAGCACATATAATTCAAGGGGTCAGTTCTACATCGGGGGTTTTAGCGTCGGTACTTCGTATCACAGTGAGCAGGAGAAAGCCCTTTCCCAAACCACGTAACTCTTCTTATGAATACATGTTGTCTTGTGAACAGGCTTACAGAACCGCACTTTTCTTGTGCATCCCGAGCCGCTCAGGGCGAGCTCAGTTATTTTACGTAACTCTCTAAGCATATCCAGTGGGCCTGACACAATGGGTCGTAGTATTTATAGCGTGGTCGTTGCATTCAGCCCAAGTGCTCCAGCTTTGCTGCATTCCTGGAAACAGTCATCCATGTCCTCTATGGCTGTCTAGCTCATTTGAGATCAATGCTGCACAACGGGATAAACCATGTTTGCTTTTCGTCTTAGCATACCACGTGACGGAATACAGTTCTAAAACTCATAGAGATGGGTTTTCACTACTGCTCCAGTCAGTAAGTAGAACCGGTGTAGTCATCCTGGCGCGCGATATAATCACCCATTTAGGACGAATAAGTCTTGTGGATTTGAGCCAACACGGACTAGTAGAATCGCTCACACCGAGTTACTTGGAGGCTACTAAGAGTAAGACAATCGTGGACTTCGTTTGATCATGCGATCTCAGTTAAACAAGGTCATTCCTTCTGGGGTAGTAAACTTGATTTTGATCACGCCATCTTACGGACCGCTTAACAGTTCACTTTCCTCTTGCATTACGAGTGCCGTAGCAGAGAAACTCCTTTCAAAACTTCTACATCTTTAAGTAGTTCAAGATGATCGGTTTGATCTGGCTAGAAATTGACTCGAAGCCCACAGTCCCGCAGATCAATGGGAGGAAGCGAAATTAAGAAGCTATAGTGTCAGCCTTCAGACCTGTTCGTCTAAGTCATCCGGTTCGTCTAAACTAAACACTAGATATCTCCAAGATCGGCGGCACTAGGAACGCCATACCAGCAACTAGCGACTATGGGGCTGCACGCAGATATCTCAAAAACTTAATAACCAGGAGCCAGAAGAATGACAGACAGTTCTGGTGAACCGCAAAGGCCCGGGTTAGGAAGAAGACCGCGCCCTATTTAAGCTCATCCGATCAACTTGGAAGCTAAGTGTTAGGGAAAAATCCCTCAAGATGGACAACATGTAACTGACTAATCTTGAATCGTCCCTTAGAGCGATGGACTGAGCACTTTAAAGGGCATTCAGGCCGGCTTCCTTCAACAAAATACCAACAGGCCGGATTGTATAACCGACAACAGCTTGGTGTCACCAACAGAAATAGAGCGTAAAATATTATTTATCCAACGCAAGCAGGTACCCATTACGGTGGATCTTCACGCCGCCGTTTTCAAAGAGGTAAGTGAAGGTCTGATGATCAGCCTGAGGACCCTGCCTCAGAAGGTTTGCAAAAACCACCACAGATGCTCCTCGGTAGTGTTTTTCACAGGTTGAACTATTATAAGACTATGCAAACTCCTGCAAACAAGCATGATTTGGCCCTGGCCGAGAGGGCACCAACTGTATCTGAAGGTTAAGACAAGCTCTTGAACACTGTCTGCGCTTCAACCATCTAATTTGGTCGAATTCCTTGGTCCAAAATACGATCGTCAGTAACTATTGTGATACTTGTCAGTCAAAGTGTTACTTACAAATCTACCAACCATTTGAAGGTTCTCGATCCAAAATCCTGTGGCGCCTATAGATATACAACTAGGTTCCGTCTGAATTTACTCCGTTCATATTCACCAGCATGGTTTTTGACTTGTTGAGAATTCAGTCTGCATGGGAAACCCCGGTGATTGAAACGCTCCTGAGAAATTTGCTCAGACATTGTATACGCGCATGTTATTGCTACCCTTGTTTTAGATACCGCAAAATGAATCCATGTCAATAACTTAAAAAATTCTACCGCACGGTTTGCGGTGCTATTCACAGCTGCAAAATCTAAAATACTACTGCAAGACTGGATGGGATAAAACCCGAAAACGATGGTTGCATACCAACCAACCCTCGTGGTAGATAAATTTGTTTAACTGTGCGTTTGCATGAGTTCCAACGGATTTCTGGGGACAAGGGTAGTTATCAAATCGAAAAGGTCAGGGCAGTTTTTGTCGTAATCCGTCAGTGATGACAGGGACGTGACATTAGTTTGTCTGTCAAAAGCGAAGTGCGATTCATACTTCTTCATGCGTTAAAAACTGAACATCTGCCACAAAACTATCAGTATCTGGCGATCGGCGTCCCAGAGCAGTGGCCTGGTTTATTAGGTACGCTGGATTGATAATGCAGAGGTTTTAGGAACAAGGAATTCCGCATGTTTCACAGATTGTGCTCTTTGGGACATGTGATTCTCATGCCTTTGAACCATCTACTTGCAGCCCAGCATTTCTGCCCAGCATTGTGCTGATTGAAAGTAAATTCAGAGGTAGACAGTCTCTGATCCGGCAAAGATGTATAAAAACAGTAACCAGTAAGCTCAGTTGGGTCGATAACTGTCATCTTCCTGGATGGGGACTCCGGAACTTAACTCAAGGATGGTTACCGGCACTGCCAGGTATGACTCACTCAAGCCGTTGGTGGTTCTCGAGCATCCGAGCCATCGCTTTCAATGTGCGGCTGCCCAATTTCTCGTCCCATCAGGGCTATATACAGTGTAAACTAACCGGTTATGCCATCGACTCTGGTGCTTCATCATATCTCTCATTCTCCAATGACCGAGAATGGAGCAGCTAAAACCGACATACCCTTGGAATACAGTTTATAGAACATAGACTGGAATGAAACACAAAGCTGAGTACGTTTTACTTATTGTGCCTGAAACGCACTCATATAGTTAACTTCTCCCCACTCCAAATGGGGTCGGTGGCCTTTAGGTCTGTAGCGTACACGAAAATATTCTTGTCCGGAATAAAATCGTCCCTTCAATGGAGAAAAACTATCTAGCGAGTTGATACTAGTAAAATTTGGTGCATGACACATGGACCTTATTCGGCTGATTTTTTCTCAAATTTACAAGTTACAAAGATCCATAAGAACTCTTGCTCATAGTAATCTGAGTAGAAAATAAAATGTTAGTCGTTCTGATCAACTTCATCATTCGTTCGATATTCTAACCGCTATTTATCAGAAAGAGTATGTTTCACGGTTACGGGTATTCGTAATTTGCATATATATATAGATATATATATA